TAAGACCTCACATTCAAGTTGCAGGTGGATATGAGCAGGGAAAAGAAGGAAAATACAGGAGGCAGGAAGGAGAAGAGCTGTGGGATTAAGAAAACAAAAAAGAAGAAAGGGAAGAGTGAAAACAAGGAGGAGAGGGTAATAGGGGTAAAGTGTGATAGGAAAGAAGATGGAGGGGTGGGAAAGAAAGGAGGCGAGAAAAAGGAAGAGGAAGGCTGGGGGATACTGACAACTTTACCCCGAGTGGCGCCAGACAACTGCAGAGGGCAACGGGGAGCTGGCAGGGATCCCTTACTTCGATTCCAAGGCAGGGTGAGGAAGAGTGGGGGTCAGAGTCATTCTTCAGCATTTAGACTCAATTACCTCACTGCCAGGATATGCCTGAGTAAGGCAAATGGGCCAATGATGTTCATATGGCTCTAACATACCCATGAGGTAGGGCCTAATGATGGCAGCTCGGAAATGAATATTACTTCTCTTAGTAACTGCCATTAGCAAGATGGAAGACAACACAACTAAACAAACAAACAACTCAGTGTTCTCAGCATCTTGACAATCAGCTTCTCCCAGGAAGGCCTCTGTCTGCTGCTGGTTTGATTGTCCCACAGCACTCGGTTCAGCGGTATACCCAGCAGACATTTAGTAAATAGTTGGGACAGCTGGGAAATCTTAACATGAAGTATTGTTTTGATTGGGGGAGCGGGGTTGCAGAAAAATGTTTAACAGGTCCTCTGGTGAGAAACCCATCTCTGCTTTGTGGAGAAAAGGCTGAAGACACAATAAGACTCCTAGAGTTAAGTCTTATGTTATTTGTTATTAAAAAGGCAAGGTCTTAAGATGTGCTTTTTAACAGTCTTTAGTTTGGCTGTAATTTAAGATGACTTTTACAAATTAGATCCTAATCCTTGCAGACACAGATGGCTGTTACAGAATAGCCTTGCAAAAACACTAGTCATTCGACTTGAAAGAGCATTCAGAGAAGGATGAAGGGCCATTAACTCTCATCCCACCCCTGGCTCTAGGAGGTCTAATGAGTCCTGGGTGGGCTTTCTGGGTTTAGGTGTGGGTCTGGAATCTGGGTGGGCCTATGGCATCTGTTCTCATTTGGAACAGCCTCTCTAGTTCACCCTGGAATCAGGGATTTAGGATAAATTATACTTGAGGTCATTAACACTTGACAACATTAACTTGAATGCTTATGTGTGAGTCATCATCACGCTGGTAACTTCATTGGGATAGATACAAACATGATAGGACAGTCTCTGTATATAATTACAGAACAATAGGACAAGTCCTATAAGAGAGGAATGTATAATCTAAACTGCATTGGATACATTGGTGAGGAGCTTAAGAGAAGGGGAGGGCTTCCCAGAGGAGGTAACATTTGAACTAGGCATTAAAAGACAAGTTCAAGTGGGTCAGGAAGTGGGAAGGGTGGATATTCAAGGAAAAGAGAACAAAGTATATACAAAAGCACAAAGGCATGACAGTCTCTTGTGTCTTTAGTGAAAAGTGAGCAATATCCTATCTCCTGGTGACAGAACTAAGTAAGGTGAGGCAGGATTTAAGATGGCTCTGAGAGGTAGGATTGTTGGCCAGATTGTGATGAGTTTTTAAAAACCATTCTAAAGGGTCTGTACTTATCCTAAGGGAGTAGCGAGCTACCAAAGATTTTTTAAATAAGAAAAAGAATGATCAGAGTGGGGTTTTAGAATAATCATTCTGTGGCAGATAATTTCAGGTTGACCAAGGACCATAAAATGGACTTTTGATGAATACTGGGAAGCTCTTGATTTCTTCAATAAGGAACAAGCTTTTTTGGTTAGACATTTTCTCTGAGCAACTAGGCCAAATTTAGTCTAAACTGGCCTTCGGATGTAGAAAGGGATCAGGGAGAAGAGACTGTTAACCAGATTGAACAGTGTTCTTCAGCAGAGTAAAACAAATGCGATCTAAGAATAAATTTTTTCTAAGACCAAGTGACTGACCCTCCATTTAGGGCAAATATATACTGACACTTAATATGGTCTACACTGAAAAGGCTGAATGAATGGTGACTAGAGCTCAATGCAGGCAGGGGGCAAGCCTAAGAACCCTCTGCATTTCATGTCTCAGTTGCCCTGATTCTTTTTAACAGAAACTTTTCACAGTCCACATTTTTATCCTATGGGAAGAAGTTATTAGTGTTGATCATAAGACCCAGCTCCTTTTAAGAGACTCTTCCTCTCACCCCACTCCCAGTAATCAGGTTCAAAAATTAATCTGAAAGAAAGGTTACTTTTAAAAGCTAGGAAGGTCCATAGATTTCATTTCTTCCAGTACTTTCATTTTACAGATGAGGTTCAGGAGGGTGACTTAAAACCAAGTGTTGGAAGGGGCTAATTTGACCCCTATGTTATACAAGTTCTCCAAGGTGAGATGTTCATGGTCCAGCATAGCCTGAAAGATGCATGAGAGCCAGGCTGATCTTGAACCCCTTGACAGTGCCTCTTTTCTAAGTGTTCACCCATTTAAAGTTCAACTTCAGCCCTAGAATTTAAGGTAGTTTCTTACTTGGCCATGTGGTCCATTGAGCATGTGCATGCATGTGTTCCATTATGCATATTTTGCATCTTATGTAAGAAAAAAGAAGAGGTTGGAGTAGTAGGTGAGGGCGGTGAGAGAAGGGACAATGTCCAGCACATGAGGTCCACTTTAGTCTCCTTGGCTTAGAGATAGTTGTTGGATCTTCATCCCACTTAGGAGATTTGTGGCTGAGTGGTGGAGCTAAACATATACTACTAGCTTCTGTTTCTATCCTGCAAATCCAACAGCTAATGTGAGGGACTAAGTTGGTGAAGGACAGGGAAGCCTGGCGCGCTGCAGTCCATGGCGTTGTGAAGAGTCAGACATGACTGAGTGACTGAATGATGACGATGTAGATGAACCTTACCAAATTCTTGGTTGAAGTCTATGCTATTAAATCTCACATTAGCAGATCATAATGTCACAGAATATCAAGATTTAAAATGTATCTTAGAGATAAGCTAGTCTCAGCCCCTTTTCATATAAAGTAGGAACACCAGGAATGACTCCATATATATCCAAAGAGGGATAATTCAGTAGTGCTTTGTTAACTTCAAAAATAGAAAAATCACTACCTCACAACACAAAATATTCTTTTCTTAGAAAGGCCAAATTTGCCTCCTAATAACTTTCAACTTACTGGTCCTACTTTATTGTTGAAGTCACGCAAAATCAGATTCCAGTTTTTATTGGCAGGCTTTCAAACAGCTGAAGACAACAATCACATCTCCCATGGCCATTCCTTCTCTAGAGAAAAATATTTCCCCAAATGATATGATTTCCTGTTTCCTTGTCTTCCTAACTGCCCTGCTTTACATAGGCTCCTATTTCTTCAAGTGACAACAAGGAGTTTCAGCATGGAGTCTAAGGACTACTCAAAGGTAGTTTATTTTTGTGTAGAGTTGACTAGGACTTAAGTTATTCTTTTTTTTTTTTAAATTCATAGTGCACTTTTGTTTTTTTTTCCCCCCATTTATTTTTATTAGTTGGAGGCTAATTACTTTACAATATTGTAGTGGGTTTTGTCATACATTGACATGAGTCAGCCATGGAGTTACATGTATTCCCCATCCCGATCCCCCCTCCCACCTCCCTCTCTACCCGATCCCTCTGGCAAGGATATACAATGGAAAAAGGACAACCTCTTTAACAAGTGGTGCTGGGAAAACTTGTCAACCACTTGTAAAAGAATGAAACTAGAACACTTTCTAACACCATACACAAAAATAAACTCAAAATGGATTAAAGATCTAAATGTAAGACCAGAAACTATAAAACTCCTAGAGGAGAATATAGGCAAAACACTCTCCGACATAAATCACAGCAGGATCCTCTATGACCCACCTCCCAGAATATTGGAAATAAAAGCAAAAATAAACAAATGGGACCTAGTGAAACTTAAAAGCTTTTGCACAACAAAGGAAACTATAAGCAAGGTGAAAAGACAGCCCTCAGATTGGGAGAAAATAATAGCAAATGAAGCAACCGATAAGTTATTCTCTTGATGGGATTATACCTCTAAAAATGCAGCTGGCTTTTTGATGGCAGTCATAACACATTATTAACATATATTCACCTTAATTTAACCATAATAACCTCTATTCAAGCATGATTTTTCCATCTCAAACTTCAGCAATTTGTTTTCTAAATCTATGCAGGCATCTCTTTCCATATGTATATATTTCTATAAAATTTTCCTAGGTTTTACTATTTTAAGAGTTTCCTGAATCTTGTTTTTCATAATTTATAAATATGATAATGTCTTTGTTTAAGCTGCTGATAAGTATGGTGAATAATTAGATTAAATATAGAGCCTTTTGGTTCCCCCCAGGGAGAGGACAGTCTCTTAGTCAGCAGTTTCTGGACACATCTATTTTAATCAGTAAAGAATCTACCTAACTGTCGACTTATATCTCTCTATTTTCCTCCAGAATATTGTGAGACTATCAAAAAGCCTTACTGAAATACAGATACACAGTGAATTCAGGTCACCCTCCCTGACTTCCCAGGCTAATAAGAACTATCAAATTACAAAACAGTCTTGGTTTAGCATGACTCTTTCATGGTGAACCTACACACATTGACCCTGATCTGAGTGTTAAGGTGTTCAGCACATAATTCTCAGATCTCCTATGGGATACAGTGATGAGATCTTGGGAAAGCCTGTATGAGTGCTGGAATAGGGGGAAATAGGAAGGAAGAAAGACCTGGTACTTAATTCCTTACCTAGGCTACTAGGCACATGTCTGCTGGCCTGTGAAGCCATATCTTCTCCAAAGGCTGAGGAGAGAATGGTATGCAGAACAAAGAAGGACTCACGAGTGCTTGGTTTTGTGGTAAGGTGTGCCATGGCACTTTGCTTGGACTACTTTGTCCAGGCTTAATGATGTGTTATCTCCCATCTGGACGTACTTCCAAAGACAGCTGTGGGAACTTACATCTCTCCTAGGAAAGGTACTCAGTAACTTGAATTCATCCCATGGAAATCCTTTGGAAGCTACGAAATCAAAGACGATCTGGAGCTTATTGCTGGCTAGGAAACGCCGCTCGAGGAACTCGCCGCTTGGGGTCCGGATCCGCAGTTTGCTCACAGGCTCAGCATTTTCTTCCTTTGGCTCAGGAGGCAAGGCCTGCTCTAAAGAGAGCCTGATGGCCTGAAGAGGGCAAAAACCAGGTGTTAAACTGTTGATAGATGGAACTGTGGGGGGTGGGGGAGGGAGACACTAGAAAAACCTGCTGGCTTCTAGAAACCCATCAAAAAGTCATTGCCCATTTATTAACTGAGCCTAATACTTGAACAACAGAATCATGTGTTTTTCACCTTTTAAAATATTAGCCCAATATGCAAGTAATTAAAATAAATCCCATCATGATGACATTAAATTGATAGGTAACAACATAGAAAAGAAATTAAATTTTTTACTGAAAGGCTCAGTATTTGTGATTGAGGAAATAGTTATCAAACACCCAATTGCTTCCTTTCTGTGGTATGAATTAGGCTATTAGAAGCATTTGCAAAAGCATGCATGTGTGTGTGCACGCGCACGCACACACACACAGATGGGGATGTGGAGCTGCGGGGAGAGAGAGAATGAGAGAGAAAACATACATTTCCCAAGTAGAAATGGCTGAAGACTTTGTAGAATTCTGGATAAGATATTAACAATGAAATGGAGGAATGATTCTGCTTGGGGTGATGAAAATTTTTGGAAATAGTGGTGGTGGTTGCAAAATTGTGAATGTAATTCATGCCATTTAATTGTAACCATTTAAAAATGGTTACAAAGGCAGATTTCTGTTATATATATTTTGTTTCAATACAAGAAAATGGAATGGAAAGAAAAGAAATTAAAATATCAAGTTTATTGGAGCAGACTATGGTCCTAGTTCCAGCCTTGCCACTAAATTGCTGTCAGATTTGGCCAAGTCCAGATCTCTGGATCTAGAGATGGCAGATTCAAACAACTGAGGGTAAACTGTTGGGAGATCTCATGGCTAGGGTTAGGCTCTAGTTCCTAACCTAGTGTTACGTTGTTCCACATTCAAGATACTCTAGCAGAAGGAAGTTAGAGGTCTCTGATGTCCCTGCCTATGGCAGAAACCCACTAAAACCATTTTGTTCCTAGCACTGGGGGAGGTTCCTTAGACAAATAAGCCTGGAATTGGCATGCTTAGCTTCACAGAAAGTAACCAGTTGTGTTCCAGATTACTCTTTTTCATGTTCTCAATTTTCATCAACAGGAAAAATAAAATTTCCCCCAATTAATTTACAACTATTATAATCAAGTAATGTGAGAGAGAGAAATTGGGATATACATTTTCTAAAATCTCAACACAATTTTCCAAGTTGGTGTCACTCTTCCCTTTGGAGAAAGAACAATCACAAAAAAAGACTCTATTAAACAACTCTCAGGTAAAAGGGGAAATGTAAATGAAAACTACAGACTATCTAGAAAACAATGACTATTGAAATTTCATATTTATATTAGAGTATATGGGATTCAGTTAAATTAGTGCTCAGAGGAAATTTGTAACCCTAAAATTCTTATATAATTCAAAAGGAAAGAATAAAAATAATTAAGAATGAGGCTTAAAAAACTAGGAGAAAAAAAAAAACCCTAGTAAGACAAATGGAAAGTAAGCTGAGAAGAAAATAAAACTAAAAGCATAAAGTAATTGCATTAGAAAAAAAGAAGAAAAACATAACTAGTAACCAATAAATAGGCTGCTACTTTGGAGAAAAATCAATAAACTTACAAAGTAATAAAAAGAAACACAAAAATGGTAACCTACAGAGGTGGGGTAAACAGGGTGGAAGAAGAGACAGCATTTTCTGAATACCCTGTTTAATATTTTTACTTCTGACTTATATAAATGTATTACCTGTTAAAATATATTTAAAACAACTAATAGCAGAACAAAATCTGCTCAGACTCTAGTATGAATAAGAAATTACTTTCTGTGTTATTTAGACAATCTGGTTGGGTCTTACATTGAAGTATTTTCAAAAAAAGCATTCTGTACTGTACAGAAAATCCAGTCTTTTCTATGATACTGAGGTCATTTTCCTCCTGGAGGCACTGAATTAATATCACCTACTTCATCCTGTGTGCTCAGTCATGTCTGACTCTTTGCAAGCCCATGGACTGTAGCCTGCCAGGCTCCTCTGTCCATGGAATTTTCCAGGCAAGAATACTGGAGTGGGTTGCCATTTCCTTCAAAGGGGATTATAAACATGGGATTGTATACACAACATATGCAAAGTTCCCAGTGTTGTGTCTGAGACTTAACAGGCTTTGGTTAATGGTTGCTTAGGGTTACACGGGGGGACTTCCCTGGTGGCTGACAGTAAAGAGTCTGTCTACAATGCGGGAGACCCGGGTTCGATCCCTGGGTCGGGAAGATCCCCCAGAGAAGGAAATGGCAGCCCACTCCAATACTCTTGCCTGGAAAATCCCATGGATGGAGGAACCTGGTAGGCTACAGTCCATGGGGTCGCAAAGAGTTGGACACGACTGAGCGACTCCAGCACCACCAGGGTTACATGGAGAAGGCAATGGCAACCCACTCCGGTACTCTTGCCTGGAAAATCCCATGGACAGAGGAGTCTGGTGGGCTGCAGTCCATGGGGTCGCTAAGAGTCGGACACGACTGAGCGACTTCACTTTCACGCACTGGGAAAGGAAATAGCAACCCACTCCAGTATTCTTGCCTGGAGAATCTCAGGGATGGGGGAGCCTGGTGGGCTGCTGTCTATGGGGTTGCACAGAGTTGGACATGACTGAAGTGACTTAGCAGCAGCAGGGTTACACTGGCTAAATAGTCCTACACTCTCATTTTTTATATGGTGAAGTTGATATTCAGAAATGGAGCCAAAAATATTGTTTAAAAACCAGAAGAACAGAAAGTTAACTCAGTTACTTCTTTTTTTTTTGATACCATAAGTGGAAGTTTATCTAATATTAGTGTTCTGAGTCAGCAATGAGTTTCAGCAAAATATTTTCAAATATTAAACTATTTTAGTAACATGTCATATATTAAAAACCCAATGAAAAGATGAACCTATGTACATCAAAATTAAGTTCCAATTATGTCTGTCACAGCTTTCAGTATACTGTGTTATTGAAACTTGTTTGTTTAATGTCTGGCTTTCCCACTAGCCTTCAGGCTCTGTAAGGATGTGAGAATATATCTTACTTTTTATTATAACTATAGGGCATAGTACAAAATAGATTCTCACTATATGTATTTGATAACAGAAGCAATAAACTAACATGTTAACTGAAATACTGCATGTAAAAGTGTTTAGTATGGAGATAAGCACATAGTAGGTGCTCAGCAAATGCTAAAAGAATCTGAATATCATGGCTTCTATTTCTAGAAACCAAGAACTGAACACCCTGAGTTTCCTTTCTTTGAGGTTGACTTCCTCCAGCGTCAACTGTTCAGATTAAGTTTCTACATGTGTCCTACAAGGGCCAGCTAAGCAAGAGTTATTTAAAGGGTAAACTACCCTATGGATTAGTTATATACATTTTCTAAACTATTTTTCTTGATTATAAATATAATATACATTTACTGTAAAAACTAGAGTAAGTGATAAGAAAACATTACTAATTAAAATCTAGATTCACCACCAAAAGATAGCCACCAGTGGCATTAAGTATATTCATAGTGTTTTGTTGCCATCACCACTATCTGTTTCTAAAACTTTTCATCACCTCAGAATCTCTTCATTAATTTTCATTTAAATACACATTTTAAACTTTTAAAAACAAAATTTGAATCAGTGTTATACACAGCTGATACACAGTATCTTTTGTTAAGTGTACAACTTGATAAATTTTCAGTAAGTGAACATTTCTGTATAACTAGCACCCTGGTCAAAGTTCTCAGAATCCTTTTGTTCCCTTCCTGAGAATTACCTTCCTTAAAGTTAATCACTATCTTGACTTTTAACACTGCAGTTTAAAAAAACTTTAATCTATTCAATGTAATATATGGTGAGAAAACAGGCTTTGGTATGACAATCAGAGGTTCAAATCCTGGCCAATAGGCATATGACAGTCTTTATGAACTTCAGCTACCCTGTTTAACAGAGCCAATAATATCTTCCACATAAGGGTTCTTGTATAAAATGCAGTCAAACTTAGCAAGTGCTGACACGTGGTCAGCACTCAAATTAGTCAGACATGCCCAGCAGTGAAGCTCGTGCCATCACACTGTGCACAACAGATGACAGTCACTGTTGCTGTTGTTATTATTATCCCTTTGCATCTACTTTAAATCAGAACTTAAAGTGATATTTCCTGGTTTTTCCTCCTGTTTCTCCTTTAATCCACCTGTCTGCCTGCTTTCTATTTTGACATTTCCCTGCACAGTATAACAACAGATGCTACATTATTATCTGAACTCAACCAATTATACTATAGACAAATAAACAACAGTAGCTCATTACCCCATTCACTGTGCAGACAATGTCTGCTCCTCAATGCACCCAGTCTCCAGGGCTTTTCCCCAGAATGAAAACAGACCTCAGATATCCCTCACCAGTGATCCAATGTGGAAAACAATGGAGAGATACTAGGTAAGTCAGCAACCTTGGGATCTGAATACCCAAGTTTTACTGGCAAAAAAAGAACAAAAATACATCAGTAGCTCAGTTTCAAACTGGCTAAAAGCAAAGGCCTTGTGTAAGTAAATACTATGGTAAAACAAATGACATAAAGGACAGCTACACTTGAATAGCAGTCATAGTAAACATTATTGTTAAACTTTGGTTTGCTCAACAAATACAGTTTTTTATTTGCATTATTTTAGGTTTATAACAAAACAAGGAAACCTAGTGTAAGTTGGAAATATGAACTGATCTTGGGCTTTTTGTTTCACTAAAGTCAAATAAATATTCAAAGCATTCACATCTGAGGGATGAGAAATGAGGACTTTTTGAAGTGAAATTAAGCAGTGAAGATAGATATCAAAAAAAAAGATTGTTTCTATACAATTATGTTTTTTAAACAGAAAGCGTAGGATACACCTACACCAAACTTTTATAAGAATAATTCAAGACTGGCCTAACTTACACCCACACATGCATACATAAATACATGCACATGCATACTCTCTTCTAGTCAGTTATGAGTACACATCAAAT